AAATAAAAACACAACTAGGGGTAACTTTCCGGTACTACTAATTGACGATTACTTAGATCAGTTAAGAGACAAACAATATTTCACAAAACTAGACCTAAAGAACGGGTTCTATTACGTAAAAGTGCCTGAATCATCGATTAAATAGACCTTGTTCGTAACACCGCTAGGGCAATACAAGTACCTCAAAATGCTATTTGGGTTAACAAATGCACCCCGCATCTTCCAAAGATTTTTGAATGAAATTTATGGAGAAATAGTTAGACAAAACAAACTCTTATTATATCTGGACGATTTCCTAATTGCCATGCAAACCAGTAATGAACATCTAAAAATTTTGGACGAAGTATTCCAGTTAGCGAGAAAATATAACTTACAATTTAGATTAGATAAACGTTCGTTCCTGTTTCGCCAAATTACGTATTTAGATTATATAATAAGCGATAATGGCATCTCACCGGCGAAAGAGGATATTGAATCCATCGTAGATTATTCGATACCTAAGTGTACATGATAATGACTGTTTCGTTGAGGACGAAGACCGCGAGCGGCCCAACATGGACTGCTCACGGCAGAAGTTCTTTGATCCGAATCCGCAGACTTCACACGTGAATTGGTATGGGAATGGGAAGAAGAGTAAATAACCCCATGGTCTGCCCCACGGTTCGAGGGTGTCGCGCTAGTCGCTCGTCAGCGTGAACTAGTTATAATCAATTTCCGACGTATCCGGTAGGGGTTCAACGGAACAATGACGTTAGAGACCTTTCCACGACACGTCAGGTAGCAGCAGAGGAAATCACGAAATGCCAATTAGCAAATCAACGCGCATATAATAAAAAGCACGAAAGACCGACCGTGAACCAAATTGATAACTACGTGGTAATTCGTAATACAGATACCACACCGGGGGTGAACAAATAGTTTATTCCAAAATTTAAAGGTCTATACACAATCAAAAATGTATTAGATAAAGATGGATACGTTGTAACAGATGTAGAAGGATTCCAGTTGACACGAATACCGTTTACAGGGGAGATAGGACCTGATCAAATGAAACATTGGATTAGGACAGATACCGAACATAGGGAAGATGACACCTAGATTATTTAATTTTAAGCATTACGGTTAGATGTAAGCATATCAATGTAATAGTTATAAGTGTATATATTATCTATAAGTGTATATTTTGTAATTTGGTTAATTATTTCCGATGTCACGTCAATGAGCAAGGACGGCCACTGTAGTCAACTATGGCCGAGCTGTAGGCATTTTTAGGACGGTCTGTACCTTCGCCGCTCGATCTCGGCAAGTGGCAAGCAGCTATCGTGATATTCGTCAATGCACATTGTTAGCGACTGTCTTGCGGCAGGACAGTTCGTGTTTGGTTTTGGCAGTGAACGAGTGAACACACGCTGAAGGATTTTGAATAAATTACTCTTTGCACGGCATTTAAGCAAACGATTATTTCCTCCTACAATTGGTATGAAGATTTGATCCTGAAAAAGGTCCCACATATTTCTTAATATCCTGTATATCAGAATATGTTAAAATAGAAAACAATACATTATCATTAGTTGTATGTATATGATACGGTGCGTTCACTTGTAATTTCGTGTTATAAGAAAAAGATTGATACATACCTCATATTATTTTGCAACTATTAAATTTAAGGGGGTAGACACGGCACCTGACCTCTCCGGTTTGGCTGATCGGTATTACAGCAGATTTTTCTGCATAGAAATGGTAATACCCATAGAGACACGGCTGACCGATGAAAACGAGGTGGCGCTTTCTGCTGTTTATGAACGAAGCGAGAAACATAATTCGCTCGTAGCGAGCGAAAGTGAGATACATATAGTCTCTCCGATTCGTTTCGACCTCTCTTTCTCTCCTCTACTGGCTATCCCTTTCTACGTTGACGCTCGGCATGTAAACAGAATCGACACCTCGGTTGGGTATACATTATAAGTACGTATAGCCAAATATTCAAGTCCGACCAGCTTCGAATCCGTCCAGAGTTTCGAAGCGTCGACGAAATAGGAAAAGACAGTTTGATGAAGAAGAAAGAGAGACTGATAAGGAATGTTTTTTAGGTGTCTGGCTCCGATTGTTTTGATTTTTAGATATGTTTTAAAGGGCCGAAAAATAATATATATCTGTTTTTTTATTTTGTCCCGTTTTCATATTTAGGGGGGGTGAAACGATATAAAGTTTTAGCTGCAATAGGCTATCTCCGAAACTATCATAGATAGAAGAAAACTTTTTAAGAAAAAGTTTCATTGTTTTCTATCTGCATATTAAATCTGACCCAAAATTTCGTAAAAAAAATAATTTGTTTATAACATTACTTTAAAAGTAATCGCAGTTGGTTATGATACTAGGCTTGTAAATGTTTTCTTTTACTCTTTTTCCGCTGTCTGTTCCTATGCTCTGTCGACGTCGGCAAATGTAAGAATATTCGACTTCAGTAAAATGGGAACAGCGCAGCGTGGGGAAATGATAGACGCTGTTATGCCACAATGACAACGTCGCAATGTATCAATATTCACGTTAGCAGACGTCCTCAGTAAGCGCCATCTCATACCGATTTCTTGAACTAAATTTGGTACTTGACTTGCTCTACCATTATCCACAAAATGGCGGAACTCGATTTTGGGAATGCCTTTACGATTTTACAATTTTCGTTCTTATATGAGAATATTTGAGGTTAGTTGAGGACTCATACGAAAGAGAAAGATTCAATACATCAGGGGCTGGTCATCGCGTGAGTCACAAAACTCTTAGAGAGACCTACAAATACTTGGATTCTGCAGATGTATTTTATCGTATTCTTTCTCTACTTTGGATACTCATATTATTAAATATTAACAAGATCACATTGAATCATGACCAGCCCCGGATGTATTCAAGCTTCCTAAAATATGCTAATATAAGGACGAAACGCGAAAAATCACGGACCCCTTTTACCCCCATTTTTGTCGGTAATGTCACCTCGCTGCATTACCCGTGTCTTCCCCCATAAGAAGTCTTTATGATAAATTATCGTACTATTCGTGTTAATTAATTGTAAATTGTATAGTTGTGCAGAATAATTTCGTGGTAATTATAGAAAACAGGTACGTCCTCACCGCTTTCGATGATTTTTAAATATGTTATAGAAATTAACATTTTGAATAACTTTTTCCTATACATATAACCGTCACTCGGCCTCAGTTTCCGAGATATTGGCAAAAGTATTTTGTAATATTTGACTATACGTAGCTGCGCAAGGCTCGCGTAACAGGCCGCTGTTTCTTGTTTACCTTTTTTGTAAACGCACTACAACGGTTCCAATTTGTTCTGAGAGTTCGTATTATGACGAAACTTTATTTGTACAGTAAAAAAATGGGGGTGCGGAGGCTAGCCGCCGTTCAAGGGTTTAGGGGCTAAGCCCTCAATATTGAGTACTGCAACGCATCATGCTTTATATACTGGCCTTCAGAAAAATGGAGACAGATTTTTCAAAACGTCATAAATATGGAAGTTTTCAACCGAGTTTCGTGAAACTTCGTCAGGAGTAGTTGTCAAGTGTCCTCTGGCTGTGTGCAAAGTTGCATTAATGAGAGTTGATGCGAATGGGTTAATTCACCTCCGTAAGGGGGGTGGTGGTGAAAAACGGCACTTCTGAAGGGGCCAGGGGTGACGGAAAGGGTTTAAAAAATGGAAAAAAAACCTTTGGGCCGACTCTCCTTAATCCTCTCTAAGGAATGCACCTTAATCTCTCTGAAATCCCTCTCGGACAAACCTAACCCTTACATCCCTCCGCCCACTCTAAAATCCACAATTTTTTGGATGTCAGTCCCGAATTTGAGCTCAATTCATTCCCTGGAATCCCCTAATCCAGAAAATGCCAACGCCCATACTCCATAGGCACTCCGTGTTGGGGGGGGGGGGGGGATAGGTCATCACTTTTCAACCCCCTCCGTGAAAGGACACTATACCATACATCAAAGGGTGATGAAATTCACCAGGTTTGTTGTCGGTATACTAAAGATCAATGCTGAAAAGATCCCATTTCGAAAGATGCCTCTGGAGCTGAACGGGGGCGGGCCAAATTATTGTTTCTATTTCTTATTATGTATATGGTTTATTCATATAAGTTTGACAATATTTATTTAGCGTTTTAAAAATATTTAGGTCACATTTTGACGTAAAATACATACAAAAATAGTTTTATTGTTTTTGACAATGAAGCAGCCGAACAAAAAATTTAAAAAAAATTGACGACACTGCTTGTTATTGTACTTTATCAGGGAACCAAACAGTAGAATAGCATGATTTCATATTTTTGAGAAAAAAATGTTTTTCCGATTTTGTTGAGCTTTTCCATTTTTTACGGCCACAGTTTGCAACAAAAAAATTTGAAAAAATTCTCAAAAATGCGCCTTAGGATCCGAAATGTGTCAGATTTTTTTCAGAATTTTAGAATGTATTTGAAACCGGAAAATGCGCCGAAAAGCGTAAAATCTATTTTACCCTGTAACTACCCCCACGGGCAAGCCAGAGGGTTAAAATTTTACTCAGAGGGGTTTTTCTTGGTCAGCTTAAAAATGATTCAAGAGCCATTCAAAAAGCTCTAAGGGCAGTTTTGACCATCTTAATCGGCTAGGCCCTTTGAACCGTTGTAGTGCGTTTACAAAATAGGTAAACAAGAAACAGCGACCTGTTACGCGAGCATTGCGCAGCTATTTATAGTTAAATAATACAAAATACTTTTGCCAATATCTCGGAAATTGTGGCCGAGTAACGGTTATATGTATAGGACAAAGTTATTCAAAATGTTGATTTCTACAACATACTTAATAAAAATCATCGAAATCGGTGAGGATGTACCTCTTCTCTGTAATTACGAATTTCGTATTAATTTACTTAAAATGGAAAAAACATATTTCATTTACAATATAAAGTTATCAATGATCAATGCCTTGAAGTATAATTAAAAGCTATTTTTAATATCTTTTCAGGATAAATATAGAATGTTTAGAAAACTTCAGACGAGCAGATATTTATAGTCTGGGTTTAATACTTTGGGAAGTTTGTCGAAGATGCATAAGTAATGGTGTTGCACTTGAATACATGGCACCATATTCTGAATGGCTTCCTAGCAATCAAGAACCGTCCATCGATGAAATGCGAAAATTAGTATGTTTGGATCATCATAGACCACCACTTCCTAATAGGTGGCATTCTGATTCTGTAATTATTTATTTAATTTTTTAATAATTAACGATTTTTAGTAATAAATTACGTACTTAATTATTCATATAAAATGATGGACATTGCTGTTAAATTATTAAATGAAAAATGATTTTTTATGAAAATATAATGAAAATTGAAAGATGTCACTTCAAAGGCGAAAGTATAATTTTTTTATATTCTGTAGCTTCAATTAATATTAATTTGGATTTATACAGCTTGTTTTTATTGTGTCAGCAATATGTATGCACTGTGTATATTTGTTAATTAAAAATGTTTACGTATTAAAAAAATTTTATTTATAATATTAAGTAATAGCCTTCGATATAGTTATATCAACACAAGAAAATAATAATTACAATTTTTTTTTCATTATACTTTTTCAATATTCAATTAGTGATATACACGTGTTATCAATGTTATCGTGTATTATTTAAATTTCACTGACATTTACTTTTATTTTGCAGACGTTGGCTGGTTTGGGAAAATTAATGAAAGAATGTTGGCATGGGAAGTCTGCAGCACGTCTACCTGTTCTTCGAGTGAAGAAAACACTTGTTAAATTAGCAGCTAACGATACACGTGTTCATTTACCCCTTGACTAAGTAACATGTACAGGATTATGTATTATTTTACGCACGTATTTATTAGTACCAACTAAATAAATTTTTTGGCGTGTTCTAGATTTATTTACTTTTACGAAAATATTATAAAAGTATATGATACGTAGAATATTTTATTATTTTCAATTGTATGTTTAAAGTTTTCAACTTGTTTTATATAATTGTAATGTATATATCTATGGCTAACATAAGACATAAAGTGCCACTTGGTAAATAATCTATTTAAATATAATTAGAACATCATTTCATATTCATACCATTCATTTTAGCGTCGAAAATGACATAACAATACGCATTCTTTAAATTTTTAAATGTCACCAAGTGCCACTTTGTAAATGATTCATTTATTAGGTGTACAAATTAATTCGGTACCTTATTTTTTTTTTATTCTAAATTTATTAATAAAATTACGAGTACAGATTTTATTAACTTTATTTATTTATTTAACTTGATTTATTTAATAAAATAATTCCCATTATTTTTCTAATTCCATTGGGGAAAAAGTCTTGGCGGTTTTGATTCAATGAAGTCATCAATACTTTTTCGCACCATATCAACTGAAGAAAAGAGTTTATCAGTTAAATGATATTGACGCAACCGGAATTACCGGAAAGCGATAATCTATTTACAGAATTTTCCAGATCAATGAATGGACCACATTCTTGATTTCTTTTGAGGCACGTGGTCTCATTAAATTCGCCTTCCTTGTTGCACTACCAATATGAGGTGTCTTCTGCTCCAATACATCACTCAGACGCACGAGTTATTGTTGATAGTAGTCTCAATAATAGTCTGATCAGTATCTAGTAGTTTATCTAGAGACGCGGTAGCGTCTCGACGCCAAGTACATGAAAAAATAGCCTCCCCGTATATGCCTGGCGCTGGCGCTACCACGTATCTTTTCCTCGAGAAAACGCGATTCCAACCTAACCCGAAACTTCTGTCATTAATATCTCGTCACGCCTGCTGTATTTTCTAAATCTGCAGGCATTTTGCTGATGTAAATCGGACAATAAGCTTTCGAATAAAACCAAATCAATACGAACGACAGAAATATCGTAATATTATATCATGAATGTGTCAAAAACTGCAGCATTTTGCTTTTCCTTTGACAAGGAATTTTTCGTCAACACTTAGCCAATAGGAGCTAAGGTCGTTCGTCGATTCGTCGACTCTCGGAATCAGTCGGCAAGGCTCGTCGGTCGGAATTGTATTCTGGCTATCACTCATGCCGCTCGTTCATTTCTAACCTGTAACTGTCAGTTTGGATTTGTGACATTTGATTTCTTGCAACAAGACTTGCTGACATTCATTCTGCGTACTTTTGAAAACTCAAAGGACTGAATCTGATATTGTAATATAATAAATTGTGCGTTAGAAATAGTGGACCTCTTTTTCCATTTCATACTTCATTTTTAACATTTAAGTTTGTTACAACAAGACTTTCTGCCATGCGTTATGTGTGCTTTTGAAAACTTAAGAGACTGATTTGGTACTGTAATATAATAAATTGTGTGTTATTCATATGACATTAATTTTATTTGTAAATAACACATACAAACCTTATTTTACTTGTAAATTAATGTAGAGCTTAAGATAAAAATACATTTGTCTTTTATTATAGTAAGCATAGAGTGTACAATATACATAATGTGTCTGAGCCAGATATAAGAAAGAGACCAGCTTCAGTCCATTAAGTTTTCAAAAGTATACAGAACGCATGGGAGGATGTCCCACTGCAAGAAATTTAAATGTTAAAGATGAAGCGAGAAATGAAAAAAAAGAAATCAACTATTTGTAACACATAATTTATTGTATTAGAATAAAGTTCAGAAGTACACAGAACGCGTGGCAGAAAGTCTTATTGCAAGAAATTCCATTGTTAAAGATAAAACGAGAAATGAAAAAAGAAATTCTCTATTTGTAACGCACAATTTATCGTATTGCAATATCAGTTTCAGTCCTTAGAATTTTCAAAAGTACACACAATGCATGACAGAAAGTCTTGTTGTATTTAAATGTTACTGATAAAGTGACTCTTGCAATGAGACTATCTGCAATGCGTTCCGCATATTTTTGAAACCTTAAAGGATTCAAACTGATCTCCCATTTTCTATTATATAAAGTCATTCACTATACAAATTATCTTTGTAAAAAGAACTGAGATCACCATAAAAAATTTCAAAAAAGTAAAAAAATTACGCCAAGTACATGAAAAAGTGGAGGACTTAAAGAGTAATCATAGAAAAATAGAAGATCTCCGTAAAAATATATAAGAAAGAAGAAAAAGCAGTGAAATCGAAATGAGCTGGCAGTACATGAATGTCCTTTCTAGTAAAGTGCAAGGTGACACTGTGTAACATAATATCAAATTCGGTCCTTTCCAACTATGCGCAGCTAAAATGCTGTGTTCAACAGTGCAGACGTTCAGACCCTAATGACAACTCATGTAAACTGACTGCTCCACATTTTGGCGGTAAAATGAAGAAGTATATCTATATATATAGATATAGTGTATCAACCACAAACTGAGACTGTTTAGACATTTGCCTAGATGTCCGTGGCCTGGAAGTCAAATGCTTGGCGTGGCCAGGCAAAATGTTCTCAGATCATCAATACCCATATTGTCTCTCTCGCAGACTTTCACATAATTTGTGAATTTAAAACTTTGAAAATATGAGTACATTTTCATTTCATTGTGTTTTAAAATATTTCTAACGACACTCATTGACGCAGATACCTCTCCTCTCACAGGCTTTCAGATAATTTGTCAGTTTAACGCTGACAATATGAGTACATTTTCATTATTTTACATTTTAAAATAATTCTTATTCATCAAAACCATGACCTTGCCTGGCCACACCAAGCATTTGACTTCCAGGCCACGGACATCTAGGCAAATGTCTAAACAGTCTCAGTTTGTGGTTGATACACTATTTAGCTTCTTCATTTTACCGCCAAAATGTGGAGCAGTCAGTTTACATGAGTTGTCATTAGGGTCTGAACGTCTGCACTGTTGAACACAGCATTTTAGCTGCGCATAGTTGGAAAGGACCGAATTTGATATTATGTTACACAGTGTCACCTTGCACTTTACTAGAAAGGACATTCATGTACTGCCAGCTCATTTCGATTTCACTGCTTTTTCTTCTTTCTTATATATTTTTACGGAGATCTTCTATTTTTCTATGATTACTCTTTAAGTCCTCCACTTTTTCATGTACTTGGCGTAATTTTTTTACTTTTTTGAAATTTTTTATGGGGTAATGAACTACACTCTGTATATTCCATTAGATGAATAGCAACATTTTGTTTTCATGAATGTTTGGCCTCCCAGTCGACGACTGCGCCGGATTTGTCCACGGATTTTGGGGTTTAGGGTTATGTAATACTTTTTTTTTGTCACCTATAAGAATCCTGTGTAGAAAATGTTCTCTTTTGAACCGTGTCAGCAAAGTCAACGCCGTATTACATTCGCTTTTTTTCCAACCTCAGATTGTATGAAACCCATTTACCCTCTTTTGAAATGTTATCCAACTGATGCAAACGATTTCATATGCAATGTTGAGTATCTTCGAGTTGCAATGCGAGCTTCTGTTGTGTTTGAGCGATGCGTATAGTGTAGTTGCACGAGATTCTTGTCGTCGAATTTGTAAGGTTAACCCAAACGGTCTTGATCTAAAAGATCAAAATTTCCTCATCGGAATCTCTGGTACCGTTTTTGTGCAGGGTTTATATGTAGAATACAGAATCAACGGGTTAGGCGGAATCTAAGTCGTTCTTTGGTTAAACAAGGACCAGATATATTTACACTTCGATGACTGACTGCCGGATACCGTTTATTTTCAATTCAAAAGTGAAAACAATGTAATGTTTGAAATGTGCCTTATCGATCGACATTGTGTTTGATACTGTATTCTGAGGTCATAACGCTTATCTAACGTTCTGAATAATACCAATTTACAAAAAACTTACCGTATAACGTTAAGCCAGAAAAATATAACGGAGTTATAAGACAAGAAATAAATAGGTACTGAATGAATTGTACACCTTATAAATATTATTTTATTATTTTATTTGAAATGCTGAAAATATTACGTGCAATCTGTGAAGTAGTTCTCGTGCAATGCAAAATTGTGTTCCTGTATAATATATTAACCCTTTGCACTTGAGAGGTGACTCTCAGTCACTAGGTTTCCTTTAGGTTTTATTTCGTTGGAACTCGAAGTGTCATTAAAATGATTGTCGTTGAGGTAAAGCCAAGAAAGCATCTCGAGTTGCTGATAGATACCAGAAAAAAAGGCCTCGAGTGCAAAGGGTTAAGTCAGCGGTGTTCAGTGTAGAGAAGCCTGCTTCCCTTTCCAAATTTTATCGTACGCAATATGCTTTCATAGTCGAGGGAAATCCAGGACGCTAAAAAGTCTGTCTAGATGGCAACACGAATGTGTCCTATGGCTGCACCAACCACTTATTTTCAATTTCTGTTGTCATGATCCCTGCATGCATTTGATATTCGGCAAAGATAGGATCTCTTGTTGATAGAAAGCGTCTTAATCCACACGCATCATTAAACGACAGAATTATTAGGATTCTATGAAAATGATAATTAATACAAAAGCAACGTCATGTGCTTGACGTAGGCTAGTCACTAACTGAACGTCTACACAGAAATGCAAAAGAACTACTTATCCTAGGCGACCTTACTAATAAAATTACTCATAGCAGGCGTTATTAGCAGACCCAGTCTTCTCTTGCAGGCGCCACACACTGATACGATATGCTCTGAACTATACCATGTCTCGCCATAACCAATAGAAGCATGAATATCAAGAAGAACGTATACTTAATAGAATATCAAAAATGTGCACGGATAATAACAGAGTACGAGCGTGGGTTGATGGTTTGACCGATCAGTCACTGCATTTTCGTATTAATTGTTTGGACACATTCAAAGATGCGACGACATTTGACTCCCGGTAGTCATAACTATGGACTATATTCTCCGGAACTATAATAACCGTTTGAGGTCAGACAATGCGTTTGCGCTGCTGCCGCTCAATGCCCAAAAGTTGGTCGGATATTGAGCTAGATGGGGTTTTATAGGCTAGTAAAATTAATATACTAGGGTACTGCGTTATCTTAAAGCTATTCGTCCTGGTGTCTCACTGTTTAGAAAAAGTCGAAGAGAGATTTTGCATTGCAGGTAGCTTCTTTAGGTATGAAATGACACACTGATATTGCTACTTGCAGTGCTGAGGAAACGTTGAAGTATTCGTACCCAAAGAATAGGACTTCATACTCGGAAGCCTCAGTCAGTTATCAACCACGAAGAACAAAGCTGTGAAAGCCTCAAATATCTTAATACGAATTAAGTCAATTAAAAGTATAATTTTAATCAAATAAATTAATAGAAACAACTTAAATTTATCTGCTTTCTTTTGTAAAATGATTGTACAAATTTATCT